TTGTGCACTTTTTTCAAGAATGCTACCTGGCGCAAGCACGTCAAGAGGAAGCTTGGCGAGGCGCGCGACGACGTGGATTTGAAACTTTTGGACAGGTTCACTGCCGACTTCGCGAAGTGGAGGTATGGCACGGTCAATACAGTTTTGCATCAGTTAGCCCCGCTGCGGCACATTCGCCTGCAGATAAAGCCGGAGTGGTTCAGACACTCTCAGGACGCCGAAACCATGGCCGTCGTTTTTGACGCGCTCATAGACGAACCGTTGTGGAACTTCATTGTGCACGGGGCTCGAGAAGTCTTCTGCCCACTCGAACTTGACAGATATTGGGGCATGGTTTGCACGTGCCCTGAACACGTGCAGCGGCGGGCGGAGATGCGCCAGCGTGGCCAGTCATGTCACATAGAGTGTTTCTTCAACTCTCGGAGATTGCAGGAGTCGTTCGGTTACGTGCAGCAGGCTTCGACGAGGTATTTGGGCCGCGCGCGACAATTTACAGCTGATGACGCTGGGGGGGACGTAGAGGTATGCCACGTCATCAGGACGATGCTGGAATATGTTGGCGCGAACGTGCTGAATCGGAACAAGTACCTGGGATCCCCGCCTTGGTCCTTCGTCAACACGCTCACCCAGGAAGGGGCCAGGCGATTTTTGGATAAGGTGCGAGGTACCCCCCTCGCCCAACACGACCCTGTGACTCGGCGTCTCATGGGCTGGCACGGGGAACACATTCGGATCGTCGCCGACGGCGGCCCCGCGCACCCTGACCACGCAGAGAGAGTTCGGCTGTGCGCCACGGGGCCGCTGGACGAGAGCAGGGGCGAAGGCTACCACCGAGGGACCACGCGCGAGAAGATGAGGGCGCCAGCGAGCAAGGCGCAGCACATCAAGCAGAGCACGAGGCAGAAGGCGGCGTTCAGGAGCATCGACGATTTCAGGGGGCGCTTCGGCAGCGCAGGCGACGCCGTCGTGCGGTTCGAGTGGCGTAAGTTCAAGCGCATCCTTCGCCCCCCAGGCCCGCTCCAGTGGGCGCCCGTGCAGATGAAGGCCGAGGCTTTTTTCTCGAGGGTGTATCGCGAGGACGACATGGCCGAGAGCGCTTGGAACGCGGTGGTTTCGCCCCAGCCTGACGACCGACCCGTCGTCCCAGATGCGAGCGACCACCTCCAGCGACTGTTCATCGAGCACCTGGTGGCCCAGGTGCAGCCCGGCACGCACTACAGCGTGCGCGCTGTCAGGCACGAGGTCGCGGGGCGGAGGAGGATGCGCCCATCGCTGCTGGGTCTCCCCCGCAGCTTCGGCGAGAAACCCGATGGCCCCCCGATGGTTTTTTCCTGGGGTTTTGGGGCGCCGCCCGGCGGGGCCCTCCCCAGGGCGTTTTTTCCGAGGAAGTCCTGGGCGAAACGTGACCGAGATTTATTAATCTCGGTCGCGGTTCGCCCAGGACTTTCCTTCAAAAAATCTCGCCCAGGGCGCGCCCTGGGCAGTCGGCGCGGGGCCCCTGGGCGCCGGGCCCGCCCCCCCCTGCCCCGAATCAGGTCTCCGCGGACGGCTCCGAGCGGGACATCGAGCACGACGTGCATTTCAAACTCCTGGGGTTGGCGCATGGGAGATCGAGGGCCCACTTGATGCCTACGGTTGAATCCGCCGATGACGTTCAGCTCGTGGCGCCGCTGGCCTTCAACCTCGTCGAGGAAACGGCGTTGCCTGGCCCGTGCGGGGAGGGCGGTGCCGACGTGAAAGTCGTGGTCTCGGACAGCGCCCCCCTGTGGGTCAAGCCGTTTTCGATCACTACTTTCGAGAAGTTCGCGCGGACGCTGTACAAGTGGAACCGCGTCGAGCCGTCTGGCGACCATCCCGGCGCCGTGGCCCTTTCGGACAGGCAGTTCGCTAGGCAACCGTATGCCGTGATGGATGCGAGGTGCCCGACTTTGGCAATCATCCAGCATTTGCGCGACAAGGGTTGGAAGGCCGTGCAACGCCCGGTGGTTCACACCGAGCCGAGAGTCGGGGACATGGATGGCGCCCATGCCACGCGCATGAGACCATACTTCCAGACCGTGGTTGCCATCGACGCCTGCATGCCGCTGACGTCGCGCATTCCGTCCCGCCAGCCCCAGAAGTTTTACGAGTGCCTTCTCCGCGGGATTCGGTGCGAGCCCGATGCGGGCGATAGGGCGTATGCTCTGGCACTCAACAGGGACGGGAAGAAACGGGGCCAGCTCGCTCGCCACCTGGCGCTGGAGGACGATCCCTGCCGCGCCCCCTTGCGCGGGGCGGGGCCTGATGACGACGGCATTGGCGGGCCGCTGCCCGCGCCTGAAGCCGCGGCGCCCAGGGGGCGAGGAGCCGACCCAGGGCGCGCCTTGCAGGGCGGGGCCGCCAGCGGCGCGGGCGACCGCGCGCCCGCGCGGCCACGCGCGCCGATCTCCGCGCCCGAACTTTCCGGTGGCGGCGGGAACGGCGGGCGCGACGCCATCGGGGGGCCAGAGCCTGACGTCGGCGTCGACCTTGTGCCAGCTCCGGGTGGCCATGATGGTGATGTTCACGGCGGCGCCGCCGAGCCCCCCGCGCCCGCCGGCGCGGGCAGGCGCGGCGGGCCCGACAGGGCCCAATGGACATGGATTGCTGGGCTAGACGGGTGCGAGGTGTCGTACCAGATCTACGTCACTCCACAGGGGAGGGCCTACAAAAACTTTAGGGTCCGATGCACGAACCCGTTGCATTCGGATTGCGGGAAATCCCGCGGCGACTTGGACAAATTCAAAGTTCACCTCGGGCCCGAGGAGCCGTTGGCGTTTTTACACGCCTGGCTACCATTACAGCCGTCGCACGGCTCGCACGCGCGGGCAAACCCGACGCTTCGAGACGTCCGAGCATATATGGAAGCTCATAGAGATGAGCTTATTGCGCTGCGTCGGCGGCTGATGGACACGTGAAAAGAAGAGCCGCATCGTCTCCCACTTCGCATGCAGCCTTTCTGGGGCTCAGCGCCAGCGGGGCCCTGGTGGGCAGGCCGCCGCGCGGGCCTGGAAAACGTTCGTCTCTCTTGGGCAAAGCCAAACGCGCAGCTGTCACAGTTTCTCTGCGATCCTGGGGAGTCCACTCTGGCCCGCGCGGCCTCGAGCAGTACTTTCACCCTGCTGAGGTACGGGCATTGCCAAACGTGAAATGGCTGTCACTTCTTGCGCCCTTGTTGGCTAAGACGGACGGCCCTCCAGGCTGATCTGAATCGCTATTGCGTCTCCGCCATGGGCGCTGCTAGTGCGATGCCAAACGTGCAATGGGTGAGGAGACGGAGGAGGAGGAGGAGGAGGAGGAGGAGGAGGAGGAGGAGGAGGAGGGTGAGGAGGGGTCCCGAGGGGCAAGACGACGAGTGCGCGGACGACGGCATGGAAAAGGAGAAAGACGACAACGAGGGCATTCAGTTTTACACGCTGGTGGCCCCGACGGGGTCGGCGACTGGATCCGTCGCGGCCTGCGGTCTCGGCAGCTGGCCCATCGGTTGGGGGGCGCAGGAGATAGCGGAATATATATTACAAGAAGGAGGGGAGGAGGAGCAGAAGGAGGACGAAAAGGAGGAGGGGGAGGGGGGACGAGAGGGATGATGACAGGAGGAGGAGGAGGAGGAGGAGGAGGAGGAGGAGGAGTAACACAAGGAGGTGGTGGAGGAACGAAGAGGAGAAATGGCAAAGCGAGGGATGCAAAGGGGGAGGGGGAGGAGGAGGAGGAGGAGGAGGAGGAGGAGGAGGAACAGGAGGAGGAGGAGGAGGAGGAAACGGACGCCAGGGATAAGGCGAAAGCGGTGGAGGAGACGGAGGAGGGAAAGGAGGAGGATGTGGGGATATACCGATACCGCTGATAATGTATGGCTGCTTTGGCGTCGCCGCGGCTGCATTCGTCTCGAAATTCTGGTCAGAACGCGGCCCAGGGCCACGGTGACCAGAGACATCGGTTTATCCTCGCCGCCGCCGTCGTCCAAGCCGCCGTCGCCGCCCTCGTCATGCTCGTCGTCCTCGTCGTGCTCATCATCGTCGTCGTCCTCGTGCCGTCGCTGTCCCCGCGCGGCGGCCCCCTCCGAAGTGGTGCGCCCCCCGCGCGCGGGGGGGCGCGCGCGTGCGAGAGGTCTGAGGAGGAGGGGGAGGAGGAGGAGGAGGAAGAGGAGGAGGAGGAGGGGAAGCAGGAGGAGGAGGAGGAAGAGGGGCAGGAGGGCCGGTGGTTCGGCAGGGTGGCGGCCGCGACGCTTTTAGGGGGAGGCAAACGTCGGCGTCGTTCGTCCCCGCCGCGCCCTGCCTATGGGAGCGCCTGTGTGGCCAAACGTCGGGCCAGAGCTGCGCCAAGTTACCGGATTCTGTGTCCTCCCAGCCGTTGTGGAACCCTTCGGGGATCATTTGGGGAAGGAAGGGGGTAACGAATGGCAGGAGGACGATAAGTCGGATGATGAGTATGATGACGAGGAGGGGGAGGAGGAGGAGGAGGAGGATGAGGAGGAGGAGGAAGGGGCCTCTTGAGGGTTTCTTGGACCCTCCAGGGTGATCACGTTGGCCTCTTGAGGCCATACAGGACCGTCTTGGAGCCATCTTGGGTCGCATTTGGGCGCCATTTTGAGCTATCTTCGCCGTCCCCGAGGGGACCTTGGGTCGTCTTGGAGGCCCTGGAGCGCCATCCTGGCCGGCTTGGAGGCCGCCTTCTTTTTTCTTAGGGTCATCGCGTCCGTATTGCAGGCGTTTTGGAGGGCATCTTGGTTGTCTTCGTGTCCAACGCGGCCGTATTCGGCATTGTTGGCTGTCTTGGAGGCGGGCGTTGTGCAGATATTCTGAGGATGTCTCAGGCGAAACATGTTTGGGTGACGCCCAGCGGTCTGTTCGTATGGGTGGTGGGTCGAGCTGAGGGAATAATGATTCTTTGAAAGCCGCCGAAACTATAATGAACTTGTCACTGCAAGCACCGGTGTGAGCGCCTCAATCAAACGATGGGGTGTTTGCACTTCCATGAACACCCTCATCAACACAACCACCGTCATACCCCTCAAACGAATCCTTACCATCACATTCATGATATTGGCCGTGAGCCTCACAACTCTCTTTCCCAATTGATCACCATACTTTCCTAACCGCTCCAGCCCTTGTAGCCGCTGATGCCGCGGGAGCCGCTGATGCCGTGGACCGGCGCGGCCCCGACCGAGGTCGTCCGCGAGCTGCTGGTTAAACTTCTCTTGGTTTGTTCCGTGCGGTCAGAGTGTTTGCTGGATTTTTTTACGAATGAGGAGATCGACGTCAGCACGCCCGCTTGCGCGGGCGCCCTTTACGCGGAGGTATTGCGCTACAATGGTACAGTTTTTCCCGGTTACCGGCCAGGGAAGGCACGCAAGGTGCACACCACAGAGCAATTGACGTTCGGGATGGGGAAGCTGATCGAAGCCATATTGGTGCCTTATTGGAAGGACCCCACGGTGTACGACCATGTGTTGTGCGAGCCGGCGGGCTTAAAAAATCCGTGAAGTGTTTCGGTGGGGGTTTGATTTTCTCCCACGGGTTCGAGTTCCTCGTCTTGGCGCTGTCCTCGCCGGAGTGGGCCGCGGCCCAGTTGCGAGATGGCCCCGTGGAGTCGGGGAATAATGGACAGGCCTTCTTGGACATCTGCAACTCTTGTTCTGAGCGGGGCGCCGTCTCCCGGAAGACGTGGACCGACGTGCTCGGCCGAGTGGAGGCCGAGATGGGGGTGGACGGGAAGTACACAGTCTTCAACATGCAGAGCAACGCATGCAAACTCATTGAGGAGATCCAGACCGTCTTCACCGGGAAGCTCCTGGGAAAGGAGCGTTCCGAGGACGCCCCGGCGCAGGGTGCCAAGAGGATGCGGGCTAAGACGCCTGCCCGCGGGCGCCCCGCGGATGCGGGCGAGCCTTGAAAATCGCGCGGCGCGCTCCCGGGCCTCTCGGCGAGGCGGTTCCAGGGCCGCCGGGCCCCTTCCCCGGGGGTGCCCCGGGGCTGTTTTTTCTAGGGAAGCCCTAGGCGAAACGCGACCGAGATTTAATAATCTCGGTCCGGTCACGTTTCGCTCGAGACTTCTGCGCCAAAACCAGCGCCCTGGGGCCCCCCCGGGGGGGGGCCCGGGGGGGGGGGAGGGCGGGGCGGCGGGGTCAGGGCGGGCCTTTCCCAGCTTTTTCCTTCTCTCGGCCTCCCTTCCTCTCTTTTCCATCGAGGTTCCCTTCCTCACTTCGCTGGCGCCGCGGGTTTCGGCCCAAGGCGGGCTTCTCTCGCGGGCTGCAGACGCGGGGCGTGACTCGGTCATGCCCGCGGCGCGCCCCCGAATTCCCAGGATCGATTCCCTCTGCCGTTTTGGCCCCAGCGATCGGCGTGGCGCGTCGCGCCCGCCGGTGCGCGCGATGGTCAGATGCGTCGGCGGCGAGGGCCGATGTTTTCGGCCGCCGCAGTCAAGCGGCGCCCGTGCCCCCCTCGCCGCTTCGATTTGTCGAGCGGCGGGCCGGGGCGGGGTCGGTGCGAACTGGATGCCGCGCCCCGCTGAGCTCTCGCGGCCGCCTGCAGCGCCCGCGCGTATCACCGCGAGCGGCGCTGCGAGCGGCGCGCGCGCGCGCCCGCGTGGTAGTAGCGGGGCGGCCGGGTTGGGGCGCCTCGGAGGTCAACCGCGGAGCTCATCGCGGGACAGCCGCGGGGCGACCGCGGCCGCTGCCGATGCGGCCCCGTGGGCAACCGCGGGGCCAACCGCGGCGCAACCACAGGGTGCCCGCCGGGTCGCCGCGGGACTCGCGCGCCCGTTCGCGAGAAATAAAAGGAGGAGCTCGAGGAGGAGGTGCAGGGGCGGCGGAGAGAGATTGGGGCATGGATGAGGGGGAGGAGGAGGATTGGGCGCCCCCGCGCCCGAGCCCGCAGCGCCCCCCTGGCGCCGCGGCAGTTCTGCCCCCCCCCCGCTGGCCCGGGTTCTCGCCTTGAGCAGCGGTTTGTTAGCGCCCCCAGAGGCTGGGGGCGCGGGCGTCGTGGAGTGGCTCGAGGCGCAGATCCGCGACAACGGCGGCGAGGACCTGGGCCCTTCTAGGCCGATCTTCGTTTTCGCGGGCGGGCCGAACGGGGGGGGCGCTTCGGCCAGTTCTTGCGCGTGCGATTGCTCGTGCGGTTTCTGGGGGGCCCCCCGCGCGCACAAGGGCATGCCGGTGCTGAGCGCCCCCCCCCGTCGCCCGCCGGCCGAACAATATCGGGCCGAACAGGAGCGCGTGAAGCGGCTGAAGTTGCCCGATTGCCTCGAGAAGTTGGCGAGGGCGAGGGACAACGTGATGAAGGCGAAATCCTCGACGGAGTCCTGGGAGGAGGGTCTGGACTTCGCGGCGGAGAGGGCCTCCATACTGAAGAAGGTGGAGGAGTGGCGGGAGCAGGTCCGCCGCTTCCGCCGCCACGAGAGCGCTTTGCAGGAGCTCGACGGGGCCCCCCATCCACGCTGGTCTGCCCCCGCCCTTTGCGCCCAGTCGAGACGCGTCGGGGCCGACGGGCCGCGATGGCGAAGGGGGGGGGGGGGGCGGGAGGCAGACGGGCGGACGAAGGGCGGGGAAGGGCTGAGAGGCAGGGGCAGGCGAGGGGGGGGGGCGGCAGCGGCCCCGCCCGCCCCTCGCCATCGCACGGCCCTTTTCTGGGCCCTCTGGGGAGGGGCGGGCGGTCGCGCGGGGTCGAGCCCGGGCCCCTCGCCAGCCCCCCCGCCAGGGCGTGATCGACAGGAAGGGCGTCGAGAGGGAGAAGGCGCAGCGCGATTGGCGCGGCGTTCGGGACAAGATCCGGCAGTTCCTCGCCAACCGCGGCCTGCCCGACCCAGTCGCCATGATGTCCGCCAATTGGTTGCGCGAGATGGGCGTGAAGTCGGCCGATGTCTCCATCAAGATGGAGTATGCGAAGATTCCTGAACTGCCCTGCGACCAGGCGCTCACCGCGAATACGTTCCTCGAGCCGTTCATGATCACGAAGCCCCAGGAAGCGGGCGCGGGGCCGAAGGGGCCCGCGCACGAAGTCTTCGGCAAGATCTTCAAGGATCGGGCGGAGGAGGTAGGCTCGAAAGTTCCAGAGATCCGGGACTACATGAAGAAGAAGAGCGTCGACAGCAGTTGGGGTACGATTGCCTTCGAGCCGACGCTGGCGTTCGGGGCGCCCGCGGAGGGCGGCGCGTCATTGGACCCCGTCGGCGGCCTCCGGATGGCGGTGTTTTGCCGCAACACGGGCGCATGGCAGTGCAATTCGACGGTGTATCCCTGGAAGGAGGCCCCAGTATTCATCCAGCAGTTCGTCGGCGCGAGCATCGTGTTCATGTGCGGCCCCTCCTTTGTCAAGGAGCACGTGGACCTCAACGGCCACGTCGAGGGGTCCGACTCTGCCGCGCTGTACAAGGTGAAGTCATGCGTGTTGCAGGCTGGCAGCGTCCTGTTCGCGCCGATGGGGTTCGCGCCGCTCATCGTCCCCATCCCCCCGAACGTGGACTGGGGCTCGGCCAAGCCCTCGATCAAGGAGCCCAAGCAGGGGACCGAGCAGAAGCATTGCGGTGCGTTCGGGATCAGCCTCTTCCTGTCGCCCGCCGTGCGCTCCCTGGTGCCGCCGGATGTCCGTCTGTCGGTGGCGACTGCCTGGGGGGTGGCCAAGGGCCACGGCCAGCTCCCCAAGAGCATCCGCGAGAACGAGAAGGTGAACGCTTGGTTCGATGAGTGCGGGAAGCCCGAGGAGGACGAGGACGCCCACGATCGCGACTGAGTTCGGGGGCCCTTTAGGCCGCGGGGTCGGGGCGGCACCCTGGGGAAGGAGCAATCGAGGGGAGGAGGGCCCGGGGTGCGCGGGCCCCGAGAGACGGGGGACAGGGCGCCGCCCCCCTGAGCTGGGCGGCGCGTTGCTGCGAGTGCGTTTACTCGCAGGGCCATTGGATTCAAGGACCCGAGGGCCCCGCCTTTGCCGACTGGCCGCGGCGGCCGCGCGGGCGCGCGGGGGCGCGCGCGCAACTTTTGCCCCTCCGCGCAGGCCCGGTCCGGGCTTTCGCGGAGGTCGGGGGAGCGCCTGGGAGGAGTGAGTCGAGGAAGTTCTTAAAATCCCCATTTCCTCCCCTGCCCGCTGCCTTCCTCGCTCCCCTCGGCTCCCCCCTCGCCCGCCCTCCGAGCACTTTCCTCTGTCTGGAGTTCCTCGGGGTCATTTTCCTCGCCCCCCCCCGCCGGCCCCTCCCCTCTCGCGCGGGCGCGAGCCCCATCGCGATCGTCGTCGCCGTCGCCGCCGTCGCCATTATCGCAGCGATCGTCGCCTTCGCCGCCGCTGTCGGCCTCGCTGCCCCCCGCGGCGCCCTCGCCGGGGCCGCCCCCGGCGCGCCCGTCGCCGTCGACGTTACTGTAGTCGGCAGCGGCGCGGCGAGGTGGCAGCACGAGAGGCCGAAGGGGCGACAGAGCCAGGGCGGGGGATGTCAGCGGCGGCGATGCTCATGATGATGATGATGATGGCGGTGTTGATGATGCCGTTGCTATTTTGGCTCGGTTTCGCGGCTGGCGCCGGCGCGGCTTCCGCCGCCTACGTCCCGGTCACTGTTAGACCAGCGTTCCCACGAGATGCCGCGCCCCTCCGCGCGGGGCCTCTCGGGTGCAGCCGATCCGCGATTTTCGCCCAGGCGCGCGTCGCCTTCCCTCGGGGCCAGGGCGTTCACGCAGCGTTCTTGGGCGACGTTTCGAGGTGGCCCGCGTTGGGGATTAGCCCCATCAGCGCGGCCCCCGCTGGGTTGCCACGCCCGCGAGCGGCAGCGGTCCGCGCGAGCATCCCTTCGCGCGCCGCCCGCGCCCGCGCTCGAGCGCTGGGTAAAGGGCGGTCGCGGAGGTCATCCAGGGGGGGCCGCTGCGCTCGACGCGCGCGCCGTTGTCGGCGCGCGCGTTTCCTGTCCGCGCGGATGCGCCCGCGCGCGTGCCCGAGCGAGCGCGGCGGGCCCCCTTTCCGGTTCTCGCCGGCGCGGAACGCCGTTTGCGATTCACGAGCGGCGTCGGGAATTCTCCGCGGCAAATCGGCGGGCCCTCGGCCGCCGCGACGTCGTTGCCGCAAGACGTCGGTGCAGATCGTTGCGCGCGGTGGCCCCCCGACCTCATGCTCGCAGTTTCGGTGAATGCGAATGGCCGCCCCGGGCTCTCGTCGAAACCTGATGTCCAGGCGCGGCCCTCGGGCGCCCCTGGCGCTGAATCTCGCGGGGGCACATAGGCCGCCTGCGCGATCCATTGCGGGCCTTTACACTGTCGATGATGTTGCTGCAGCTGCTGCTGCTGCTGCTGCTGATGATGATGATGATGATGATGATGATGGTGATGGTGATGGTGATGGTGGTGGTGGTGACGATGATGATGAGGATGCGAGATGGTGATGATGACCAGGCTGATTCTGCGACTGCGGCTGCTGATGATAGTGATCATGATAATGAGTATGCGGCTGCTGCTGATCAGATGATCGTACTGATGCTAATCAGAAATTTGTGCGAGGAGGCGCCTGGTCACGATGTTGATGACGTTCAATTTGGTGATGATGATGATGCTGATGCTGATGCTGCTGCCGCTGATGATGCTGCTGATGCTGATGATGATTATGATGATGATGATGATGATGATGATGATGATGAGGAGGAGGAGGAGGAGGAGGAGGAGGAGAAGGAGGAGGAGGAGGAGGAGGGGGAGGAGGAGGAGTTGGCCATCTCGATTAAGTTCCTTTGAGCGGTGGAGGGTGGCTGGTTGCATGAGATCTCGACGTGTCTGCTGCATTACCCCGCGCTCAAAGATATGGTTGACAACCCGTGCCGCCTCGACGGAAACCTCACTCGCCGCCTCCGCGGCGTCCGCCTCCATGCCGTACAATTGGCCCAGGAGCATGCTACTGACAAGCTCACAGTCCCGCCCCGCTTCCGACTCGGCCCCCTTCGACCCGTCCAAATTTCCGTCTCTCCAGGAAGTCTGTCCGGCGAGCCATTGAGCAGTCCAACAAGTCCTCTCCAGGCCCTGACGGCATCACGTTTTCGGCCTGGCGCGGCAATTTGGCTTTATCCACTTCGGTTCTCTACGACGCCTTTGGCGCCTTCGCCTCCGACGGCGGCGCTACCCTCATGGAATCGTCTGCCGCAGACTTGAACGAAAGCCTCTTACTCGTTGTCCCGAAGAAGCCATCGGGAGTGTGCCCCTCGGTTGAGGGGTGCTACGCTCCAGCTGGCGGTCTCCCTCTGAACGTGACCAACGCCGACAATCGATTACTATCGAACGCGGTGCGGCTCCTCATCGAGCCGCTGATCGGGCCCAGGGTGTCAGCCATACAAAAAGGGACTTCCTCACTGGCCGCTCCAGGCTGGCTAATCTGGTGGATATCGAGGATGCGGCGGAACTGATAGCCTGCACTTCGGATGAGGGGGGCGTCACGCTGTTCGACTTCGCAGCCGCGTTCCCAAGTGTCGAACGCGGCTTCCTGAAGACCGTATTCCGTTCCGTTGGCTGGCTTAGGTGGCTCCAGAATTTCACCAAGGGGGAACTTTTGCGACATTGTCGCGGACGGTGCCCGCTGCCGCGGCTTCGGGGTTCATCGCGGTATTCGGCAAGGTTTTTCTGTTTCTCCCTTCCTCTTCGCCGTCGCCGCCGACCTTTTTCTGCGCCGTTTGTGCAGCCATTTTCCCAGCATTGCTCTCCTGGCGTACGCAGACGACACCGCCCTCGTGGACCCGCACCTCATGGCCAATGTGCCACTCCTCGAGCGCACTTTTTCTGAGTACGCCCGCATCTCTGGTTTGCCTTTGGACGTCGGCAAATTTGTCCTGATTCCTTTGGGCGCACTGGGTCACGACCAGGTTCGAGCACACCTTCGGTGCGATGTTCCGCTTGGGGGAGGTTTGGAGATCTGGAATTTTATGTAAGCCCTGGCCAGGGGCACAAATCATGGGAAGGAGTATTCGAAAAGATGGAGGATAGAACTTCGGTATGGCGGGGCATTGGTGCCGGGATGATGAACACTCTGGAGGCGTACCGTGTGCTCATTGTCTCTGTGGCTTTCTGCGTGTCCCAGCTGGGCCCTCTCCCCGCCGCGTTCGACAGGATCGAGAAACGCCTGATCCAGAAGGTTTTCCACAGCCCTGCGGATTGGCTCCGGGGAATATATTGCGATCTGGAAAGCTGTTCCGCATGCCCCGCGACTTCCTGGACATGGCGCACGTCGCCTCGGTGGCCAAAGTCCAGGTTGTGTTTCACGAGGCTCGCCAAATGGGTGGTTTGCAGGTGTTGCCAATGGCCAGTGCCCTCCGAGCCGCCATGCAGGACTTCGATGGCTGCCGCCGGCTAGGCTCCCGGCGCGCTTGGGCGTCATCCACATTTCTATTCTCGCTGGAAAGCAATCTAGGACATGATGGTTCGTGGCGAACCCGCTTGGCTCTTCATCGACCCGGCGTCCGCGGAGGCTCGAAGAGAGGGATGGCAGGTGCGCGCCCTCCGCGTCGCGCCCCCCACCCCCCCCCGCGGGCTGCGGCAGCAGAGCGAGCGTTACGGCGCAATTAGGACAAATGGCGTCTCGACGTCCCGACAAGACGCCGCTGCCAACGACTCTGTCGGAGCATGGGTGCCATCAAGACGTTGATGCCTCCCCAGGTGCTGGCGGCGACCTTACGGGCCAACCTGCATGGATGGGTTACTTCTAGACCATTCCAGAAGACAGGCCGATGCGTCTTGGGATGCCCAGCGGCCGACGTTTCGATCCAGCAGTACTGCCATTGTCGCATATTGCACGAACTTTGTCGTCGTCACCTGAGCCTGGGGCGGCCTGGGCATGACGCGGCCCTAGCAGACTTCCTCCTTTCTCCCTCCTCCCGTGTCCTCCGAGTCGGCGTGCCCCCCGCGGGTGGCCTTCAGGCCGCCGCGATGGGGGCGCTCAGTGTCTATGCGCTGTTTCGAAACACGGCGCGAGGCGCCATGGCGGCCATCCCGGGGGCCCCCCGTCAGATCTTTTCGGGGGTTCGTCCGCGAGGGGGTCCGCGGCCACTCTCAAACCATGGCCCTTCTAAGCTCGACGCGCAAGCGTCGGCGACGGCTTCGTAGTATTATCCTTTCCCCTCCTGGTGCCTTTTTTCGCATTGTGTCGTCAACATTGTAGGACATCTGGTGTCTTCTCCTCCGCGCCCCCTTCATGCGCGAGGTTTCCTTTGTCCTCCTCTCTTCTCTGATCTTTAGCTGTGCTGGTTGTATTGATCCAGCCGTTCAGGCCATTCAGTAATGGGGGCTGCCGCAAAACGCCTCGGCAGGCCAGGCTAAGATACGTTGTAGGGCTGGTTCGTATCAGAAGCCCTTTGGCTCCTCCTCTTCCTCCTCGCTTATCCTTCTCCTCGTTCTTCCTCCCCCTTCTCTTCCTCCGAATCCTATGGCTGCCAGCTTCGAGCCTGTCTGGGATGTCTCGGGCGCAGCCTAATACCATCGGCCACCTACCAGGCCTCTACAGTGCAGGAGTCCAGGCAGCGGCTCTTTGGCTGATAGGCTCAATTCGTTCTGCTGTTCACCGCATGGGCTTGCCTGTTGCAGGTCGGCTCGTTTGGGGTGCATTCTCCAGCCCCAGCCTTTGGCTATTGTGTTTCCTCGGGTCCACATTGGAAGCCAGTGTTCGGGAGCATTTGGTCCGTCCTCCTCTTTCCTCCTCAGCTCCTCTCGCCTCCTCCTCCTCCTCCTCCTTTTTCCCCCTTCCTGGTCCTGCCGTTTTGGCCATGCTGGTAGGACAGGGCGTCATCAGAAACACCCGTCCTTCGAAAGGTGTAAATTGAATTGTCCCTTTTTTTCCTGAAGTGGTCGGGTTTTTCAATGTACGTGGTCGTGCGCGGAGCTTGGGCTCATATTTGTAGTTCGGCTGTCATGCGCTTTTGTCGGGAGAAAGGGTATAAAACCAAGATCCATCAACGATGTTGGAATCCACCCTCCCTCCAAGTTTTTTCTTTTTTACGTCCCTACAAGGGTTCATTTCCATTGAGGGAAGTGCGTTGTGGGGAACCAACCGTGTGAAAATCCGGAAGCGCACCAGCAAACCGTTCTCAATACCTCAGTGCCACGAGTCAATATGAATGCTGCGTTCTGACGTTCCTGAATGGTGCCAGGAAGTTCTTGGGACCTCAGCACCACGAATCCACGTACATTTTGCGCCCAGACAATCTTGAATTGTTCCAAAAACCTGTTTCTGGTGCGCGAACCAATGGACTTGAAAAAGGAACCACTCTCAATCCGTGACGCTCTTGCACAATTTTGAAGCTGCGAGGCGCTGAGGCGCGAACCACGCTTTGACAACAAAAACGCACTTAATCCGTGAAACTCTTGTGCTTTCAAATAAAACAACGAGTGCGTGCGGGGCTGAGGCGAGAACCACATTTTGCAAACGACCCGCTTTCAGTCCGTGTTATATCGAAATGTTTGAACGAATGTGCGTGGCGTTGAGGCGAGAACCGCATTTTGGAAGCGAGCCGCCCTCCATCTGTGAAGATGTTGCCAGTGTTTCAGCTTCAGTCTCATATGTGACAAGGAAGGCCGCAGGCGAAACGGGAAATAGGAGCAGGGAACTCGAGGGAAAGCTGAATAAAGGCACGCCGCCATCCCTTTCCAGGGCGCGCGGGGCCGTGCGTTCAGGCTGCATGCAGTCTGTGGGGTAGGTACAACATTGTATATCTATATACATATATGTATATATTTACATGTATACATATACATATATTTATAGTTAAATATAAATATATAAGTCGCCGGTGAGCTTCGGAAATCCCTAGCTTGATTGAAAACTTATCCCAAGTGCGCCCAATTCTTGCCCCAGGAGCGTCGATCATAATCCCTGTCCTGGTCATCGTCGCCACCATTTTGCCACCAAATCTGCGTGCAGGACGGCAGCGATAGCATGTTGCACTCCGATTGCGCCGAATGCAAACATCATCGCAGGATGCGCACGTCATCAGAGGATGTAAACATCTGAGCGCGCTCCACAACACGGTCCCCGCGCGGTCGCGCGC